GTACGATGAGAGCAAGAGGTGGGATGAGCGAGAGAGTTGGAGAGGGAGAAGCAAAGGGTTGCTCCCTGCCAGGATCGAACTGGCGACCTTCAGATTATGAGACTGACGCTCTACCAACTGAGCCAAAGGAGCTTCAACACGATTCGTCGCATTGCTCTTCAACACCAAATACATCCTCCATGGCTCATACAAACGTGCTTAGACAGCAGGCGCGCACCAGAAAGACCATTCAGATGCTTCGGATACCTCTTCCGACAGCGTGGAAGTCGACACGGACTCTTTCTTGAAAAAGATGTCATCCCTCCCGACCGAAGACGATGCCCGTCTGGCGCTACACGTTCCTTTACCGGTCGTCTCGTTCGCTCACTACGCTTTCTGTCATTTCCGTCAGAGACTCCTATGGTGGACGACGTTCATTCGACACGGTCGTATCCATTGGCAACTTTCTTGCAAAAGACAAGAGAGAGGATAGAGTAGAGGATCTGGATTGCTAACGAACAACATAACGCGGCAGGAGAGCATTCCGACGAGAACATGATCCGCCCGATTCGGAGGCTGTATGTGGCGTGCGATCTGATCAAACCAAGTACGATGAGAGCAAGAGGTGGGATGAGCGAGAGAGTTGGAGAGGGAGAAGCAAAGGGTTGCTCCCTGCCAGGATCGAACTGGCGACCTTCAGATTATGAGACTGACGCTCTACCAACTGAGCCAAAGGAGCTTCAACACGATTCGTCGCATTGCTCTTCAACACCAAATACATCCTCCATGGCTCATACACACGTGCTTAGACAGCATGCGCGCACCAGAAAGACCATTCAGATGCTTCGGATACCTCTTCCGACAGCGTGGAAGTCGACACGGACTCTTTCTTGAAAAAGATGTCATCCCTCCCGACCGAAGACGATGCCCGTCTGGCGCTACACGTTTCTTTACCGGTCGTCTCGTTCGCTCACTACGCTTTCTGTCATTTCCGTCAGAGACTCCTATGGTGGACGACGTTCATTCGACACGGTCGTATCCATTGGCAACTTTCTTGCAAAAGACAAGAGAGAGGATAGAGTAGAGGATCTGGATTGCTAACGAACAACATAACGCGGCAGGAGAGCATTCCGACGAGAACATGATCCGCCCGATTCGGAGGCTGTATGTGGCGTGCGATCTGATCAAACCAAGTACGATGAGAGCAAGAGGTGGGATGAGCGAGAGAGTTGGAGAGGGAGAAGCAAAGGGTTGCTCCCTGCCAGGATCGAACTGGCGACCTTCAGATTATGAGACTGACGCTCTACCAACTGAGCCAAAGGAGCTGGGTTCCCACCCTGGTGTAATGGCAAAGCACCGACCTGTCCACTCAGGTGACGCAGGTTCAAACCCCGCCACGGCCACAAAGAAGGCCACGACCAGAAATAAAGTCTCGGAGGTACCATGGGAACCCGGTACCAACGAGCACACTACTTGGAGAGCGGACGACTTCAAGCGAAATCAAGACAGTCCCGACCGCCATAGCGCGAACCAATAATAGGAAAAAGAATAGAAAAAAATCAGAATGAAAGTATAGGATCTAAGCCGGGCCGAGAAGGTATGGGCCGTGTGACGATAATATACAGCCAACTTTCAACTGAGCCAAAGGAGCACTTCTCAATTTGCTGGCTAACGCTTAAGTGAAATTTTGAGGAACCCCATCCCGCCTTTTCCGGACTTTCGCCCTGTCTTTTCCATGGAAAATTCAGTGCCCATCTCGCCACCTGTTTCCGGCCAGCCATCATCTGATGGTTCTGGTCCGAACCATGTGATTGTTTCCAGTGTTCCGAACGGTTCTACTGTCGGCCTTTCTCCCCCAAACGCTCCAAGCACACCTATCTCTCCGATGGGTGGGTCCCCGAACGTGCTGCGAACGCGTTCCAGTGACGATGGTACCGACGAGGTTATGGAAGGGCCTCCCTCTTCTTCCGGCTCACCTACGACCGCGCTCGCATCTGACGACGTGTCGATGAATCCACGTCTACCACCCGATGTCGCCTGTACCTCGCCGCCGCGCGCGACGCCTCGTCCAACGATGGCAGACGTTCTTGCTACGCAAGACAATATCCGCCGTGACCCCGCCGAGGATGATGCTGCACGCCGTCGCGTGGAGACGCCGAAGCCTCTCGCTAGTGACATCGAATGGATCGAGCATCAATATGCCACTGGAGGTGATTGGTCGTTCATCGCGTCTCGAATCGACCAGGCGAGGCCCTATGCTCTGCCTCGCGCCAAGTACGACATGGTGATTGCTACTGGTCGGACGCTCGCGAAGACTCCGCTCCAGAAGATCATGGTGTCACTTTCGGGTAAACACCACGGCAATGACTCGCTTGAAGATCTCTACCGTAGCCACGAGATTGGCCAAATCTCAAAAATGCCTGGTGGTGACCTCCGTATTAAGGTGAAGTCGAGGGAGGCTTGCTTACGACTCGAGCGCACGAAGGTGAACATCCTCGGTGGTGTTTATACTTTCAAGGAGTTCGACGTCCTCGGTGGCAAGTACTACATCGATATCTCCAACATGGACTCGGATACGGACACCCAACTGATTCTCCATCGCCTATTCCTGCTTGGCTGCAAGCCGGTGTACGACACTTTTCGTGAGGTAAACCTAGCGACTGGTATCACGTCTGCCACTTGGCGCGTGTACTTCCTGACTGAGTTCATGTCCACGTGCGCTGATCTTGAACGGCAGTGTCTGTGACCAAGTGCTGTTTGACAACAAGCTTCACCCGGCCCATGGTAAAAACGCCCCGTTCCAGTCGGACCGGATGCCGTTTGGGTACCGCTCTCACCATGGTCTCGATTTGGGAACGCCCTCTAGCGTCTTTCCACCGACTGTGACGGGTCATGCCTCGTCACAGCACCAACACCGGACCACCACACAGTCGACGTACGCGCACGCTGTGAAAACCCCTGCTGCTTCAACAACTTTGACGACGACCAAGCAAACCTCACTTCAAAGGGAAGTCGAGGCAGCTAATAAGCGGGAAGGTCAGCTCCGCCAAGGGGCTCTACATGGGAAGCCATCAGCTTCCAATCAACTCGTCAGACCTCCGTCGACTACCTCTGATGCTCTGTCCATCTCATCATTTAAGGGATCGCATGGCAAGATTACTCCTCCTGGGAGCCCGAGAGCTCGGACCGCGCCGCAGCTGTTGCTGACCACGGGCGAGGATGACGGATTTGTTGCTGCACCCTCGCGCAAAAAACGAGGCCGCACTGCGATTGACTTCTCCAACATGTTGGTTAAGCAATCCACGCTTCCGCTGAATGGTATCGCCACCTCCAACTACTTCCAGGTGCTTCAGACTATGGAAGTCCGGTTTGAATCGACGGTTTTGACCGATGACCCGAAACATGGTGTCCGCCACCAAGTCCTACCTTTGGGAGTGAAGCGTCCTGATGCGGTGCAGACTTCGACGGAGTCTGCCTTCTTTGTCGAGAAGCATCACACGAAGATCAAGAAATCGGCCAAAGCGTCGTTCGTTCCCGAAGTGGCGGAGGCAATGCTTAATGATGAGAACACAGCGCTTCTTAGCCTTCTTCCGGATCTCCTGGATGCGGCGAACCACAAGGTCGAGGGTATGTGCAAGATTCTTAAAAACGCCGCGAATCCAGATCATTTCACCAAGAAAGTGATCGAGTCTCCACTCGCCTTTAACAGTGCCCTGTCGCTGACGATGGCGGCAGGTGGGGAAGCGATTGATGAGATCGCCCAGTTGCATGCAATCAACCGTGTACTGTGTGCGACTAATCCAGCTGAGGACAACACGTTTAACACGAAATGGAAGAAGCTGATGGGTTCAGCTGTCCCTTCCAAGCGTGGTGGCATATTCAGTCTGTGCGCCAAGTGGTGGACGTCGTCCCCAGATATCGAGGAGTTATCTCGTGCGTCGAAAGCACTGGGCATGTTCGAGATTGTGCTTATGTCCATCGCCCCCGTCATCTTTGCCAACGATCACTGGATCCAGTACATCACTGGTCAGCCAGTCGAGTGGATCCCGGCGCATCACACGCGTCTTCTACATCCGAATGCCCTCCTTCGACTTTTGCGGTCCGAGCTGGGGGTTCACTGCATGCAGCAATGGAGAGAAGTACAGTGGCAAGGCCACCTTCTTGACACACTCGAGGTTCTTCAGCAGCTCGACGGTTTCTACCCAGTGGACTCTTCTGTACTGCAGCTTCGAGCTGTTGATGGAGAAGTCACGATGATAGCGGGTATTTAGCCACTCGCTGCTAAACTTGCCTCTTCCTCGACTCCATGGAGCAATATCAGTGTTCTCTCGGTGAACACCAACGGCATCAAACAGAATGGGCATCTTCTCATCGACCAGCTGCTCTCCAAGTACTCGGTGTCATGTCTTCAAGAAACTAAGTTTGGCGACACCACCCATCTTTCCACCTTCAAGTTCCACCTTGAATCGAGCTTCAAACACCGCATCTTCGTCAACGACCCCAACTCTCGACTGCATCGTCCGACTAGAGGTCGCAGTAGCGGGGTGCTCACCATATTTCGCTCCGACTTTCCCGGTTTCGATTCGGCTGTCGAAATTTCCCGCCTGGCGGTCCCGGGGCGCTATCTCGTCGTCAAGGTGTTGGTAGATGACATGCCCATCTATATCCACAACGTGTACGCTCCAGTGGACCACCAAGCGAAACATCAGTTCTTCTCCGGTCTAGTGACCGAGGGACTTTGAAGATCATGCTACCCACATTGTGTTGGGGGATCTGAATACTCCCCTTGACCCACGACTCGACTCCTCGACTCCAGACCTGCGTTACGATCCGGGTCGGTCCAGCTGTCTTGAATGGATGGCGAAATTGGGTGTTGTCGATCCGTGGCGGATCCACTTCGATACCAAACGGGTCTTTACTGGTCCGCTTCCACGGCGCAATCGTCTGGATTATATCTTGCTCTCTGCGGCCTTTTCTGATCAGTTCTATGGGGACTCCAAGTATTTTCTCCCACAACACGCTGGCGACCATCTGGCTCACAGTGTGTGTTTTCGGTCTGGATCCCAGCTTCATGGACGAGGATATTGGAAGTTCCCCAGCTACCTTCTGGAGTATCCCATGGTGGTGTCTGCTATCGAGACAGAAGCGGTACTGGTCCGGACTGTTCTCTGCTCTTCATCAAACCCCGGCAAGGTCTGGGAAGAGTGGAAACAACGCATCAAGGCTCAACTGCAATCCGTTCAGAAGAAATTACGCCTTCAAGATTCTCAGGCGGTTGAAGCGGCTCGCCTTCATCTCGATCAGGCCGCTGCTCGATACCGCGAATCTTCTTGTTCGGTACACCGGGGTTACTTTGATGAAGCCATGCGGTACTACAAGTCGACGGTCACGCGGACGAGTCAGTACAACCAGGACACTGCGTTTGACTTCCACGTGGCCAACTCCAAAAAGTCGACCAAGCACTGATTTCGCCCGCTGGATACCAGTTTGCGACGTGTCTCCATCGAGGAGGTGGTGACGCTGACAGGGGAAGTTTCGACGAACCCTCACGATATCTCTCTCCGATTTCTCGAGCACTGGGGCTCCGAGATGGGCGACACCAATAGTCCGGCTGGGAGGGCGACTCCCCCGGACGCCATCATGCAGCGTCGTCTTCTTGGTTCCATGATCCGCTCCGTATCGTCCCTGGACCGTGCAATATTGGATGCTCCAGTAACGGCTGCAGATTTAGTGGCTGCTATTCGCCACATGCGATCTACTTCGGCGCCAGGCATGGATGGTCTGACGGCTGGTTTCTACCAGGTCGCTCCTGATGTCTTCGGTGAGTGTCTCAGCATGGTTTTTCGTGACCAGCTTAAACGAGGGCGACTTCTTCCCTCTCAACGCAAGTCTGCCGTGGTGCTGCTTCACAGAAAAGGATCACGTGCACTGCCAGGCAACTATCGCCCCATCGCACTCGTGCAGGTAGATGTGAAGGTGCTGTCGAAGGCGTTGACATACCGCCTTCAACAAGTGATCTCGGACTTGATTCACCCGGACCAGAAAGGTTTCGTCAAGGGACGCTCGATCCATCATCATGTGCGGTTTCTTGCTGACCTTCAAGACCTGGTTACCGGTCGGGACGACGAAGCGTACGCGCTGTTCTTGGATTTCGAGAAGGCCTTCGACCGGGTCAACTGGGACTATATGTTCAAAGTGCTGGATAAGATGGGTTTTGGATCAACGTTCGCCCAGTGGATTCGGCTTCTTTACACCGACCCTCAAGCACATCTTCTTATCAACCAAAACATTCAGCCCGCCTTGTTCCCAACTCGGGGAGTTAAACAAGGCGATCCGCTGTCCGCTCTCCTCTTCATCTTGACCATTGAGCCTCTTGGCAATCTGCTACGAGATCATGATGAGTATGGGGTGTGCTTGACCGCGGATCACACTACCACAGGCACGTTCTTTGCCGACGACTCCACGCTACTGAGCAGCTCCATTCCGAACCTGCAGGCACAGCTTGGGCTTGTTCAGGACTACTGTCGAGGGTCGGGAGCAAAGCTCAACCTGTCTAAGTCTGTTCTGCTTGCACTCAACCGGAGTCAAGAGTGTCCTTTACTTCCGGGTTTACGCGTTCTTGGACGAACGGACAAGGTCAAGTATCTTGGAATACCGTTTGGGCAGTCGTCCGTCGATGTTAGCCTCGTTGATTTTATCGAGCAGCGCTTCTATGATGGCTTCAAACAGTGGTACCGCCAGGCGAGGACTCTTCGTGGACGACTGCTGGTAGCCCAGACAATGATACTGTCTCGATTATGGCATTACACGCAACATGTTTCCATTCCGTCGCCTACCGTCCGGCGCTGGCAATCGATGCTGAATAGGTTCGTCCTCAGCCGTAAACATGACCGTGCTTCGACTCACGTACAGCTTATCCCCACTGAGTTCCTGTACCAACGTTGCCAAGACGGAGGTCTGGGGTTTCCCAGCCTCGCTGCTCATCTTAAACGCCAGCGTCTCCAGCTTCTTCTCCAGTTTATTCAAGGCCTGAGCGTCACGACTGTCAGGAACTGGACAACAGCCGGCTCTGAGCTTCTTGCGCTGGTCATTACCGCACACGGGTCGTCGTACCGCCTTGGACTTTCTAACCATATCTCCGCTTCGCCATGGCAAAATGATTAATTGGAGCATGGCCTCTGCTTGGTGGAAGGCTTCGTGGAAGCTATGGTTTTTCATCCGATGGGACATCACCTGGCACGACCTTCCTTCAGACGACCGCGCTTTGTACGGTCTCCATCAACCTATCTGGTTTCACGCTGACGCTGCTCTTCACTTCGAGCAGTCTATACGGTCTTCCACCGTCACAGCACACCGTCGTTGTATAGGCATGGTGGTGGAGCCACAACGGAGCTTTCGACTACACGTGTCACGCAACTTTGGTATCCGGTCGCTCTCGGACTTTATCCGTGCTGGCGAGGCTTGGCCATCGCAGGAGCAGTTTGTCCAGCGGTACCTTGACTTCACGCTCGCGTCCGCGACGCCTTGGAAACAGATTCAATGGCTGCGCGTGCTTTACACCGAAGCCACGCAAATCGTTGAGCGCCTCGGTGCTTCTAGAATTCGTATACAGCATACCTCCGGACGACAGCGTCTACTTCCACACCTGGGGTGTACGAGTGGGGGTCGGGTGTGCTTGGTCCCCGCTATTCCTCGGACCGCACTTCTTTGCGTCGTCTGGCTGCCGCCGGTACCGACGAAGCAGCATCCAATGTCGCTTCACTCGCCCTGCATGGGGAACGATCACGTCAAGGCTTTTGTGCGATCCTCCACGTATCTGCGGCGTCTCTTGATTCCCGTATATGAAGACCTTCAATTTCGTCTAGCATTTCGACTTCTCCCGGTTCGCTCCCGGTTCTGGTTTCTAGAAGCTTCCAACCCGCGCATTCGCATCTGCGTCCGTGCTGGCTGCGCGGCGATCGAGACCGAACAGCACTTGTTCTTCGACTGCGCGCTTGCCGTCCAGTTATGGGACCAGGTCCGCCAAATCATGTCGCCTTTCTTTCGCGCTCCAACGACCTGGATGAATGTTGCGCTGGCAACGAAGCCTCGGTTGCGGGACACTTGGAAAGCGCGCGCCGGTGTTGTTCTTGATGTGTGGCACACTGTTAGAGCAGTGACGCTTCACTTCCTCTGGCGGGATCGCAACCGCTGTCTTTTCGATGGTCGGCAGCCGACGCCTGCCGCCCCAGCCTTGCTAGCAATTTTTTCAGCTTCTTGCGCCCATTTCCGGCACACCTTGCGTCGCCGATACGACCCTGAACAACAACAGACGCAGCACATGGTTCTAGCGGAGATGAGGCGGCACGCCGGATTTGAGGGGTTCGTGCGCGCCAATTCCACTGTGCTGGGCGTCCGACACCGCCGCTAGTCATCACCACTATCCACCGATGGTCCAGCCCAACCGTGCAACTACTTCATGGACGGACAGCATGCATGGTACTCGACACAGCGGTGACTGCGGAGGTCGCGTTCGCACCTCTCCCGAAGCCTCCTCCGTGGAAGCTGCACAGTACATGCTTCTCCTTGTCGCTTTTCGGGCACGGCCGGACTCGACACGCGATGACCAGCTTGGATGTTTCGCACTCTTCCGGTGGAATACCCGACCGGTGTCGTTCCTGCACCAACCCGCTTCGTTCACGGTCCCAGTCCGGACTACAACAACAAAACAGAAGAAACGTGAGAAAACACTTTTTTTCGAAAAAAGCACTTCTTCGACACGACTGCCAACACGTCGCCACGGGACTACTTACGTGACGTGCGCTGCTGCTGGACGTCGTTTCAGCTTTCGCGACCCGCATCCAGTGTTACCCCCGTGTGCACACACCTCCAGGAGTTCAGAGACGTCGACCGATACGCGTGAACGCATCTGGGGGGCGCGCGCCGGGCACCGACGTCGTCCCTCTTTGTATCGCTCCATTTTTCAAATTTTGCGTCCAAAAAAAAAAAAAAAAAGAAAAAAAAACACTCACACTCAAAAAAGGGGGGAGCCCCAAGTAAACGACATAGCACAAAACATCGACGGGGATTTCGACCCCGCGTACCTCGGTAAGCCACTGTCGCTAGTTATCGCACCCTGCCATACTTTTTAGCTATGTAGATTGAGAAGTCCATTCGTCTAAATTATTATAATATAGACAACCTTTCAACTGAGCCAAAGGAGCTTCAACACGATTCGTCGCATTGCTCTTCAACACCAAATACATCCTCCATGGCTCATACACACGTGCTTAGACAGCATGCGCGCACCAGAAAGACCATTCAGATGCTTCGGATACCTCTTCCGACAGCGTGGAAGTCGACACGGACTCTTTCTTGAAAAAGATGTCATCCCTCCCGACCGAAGACGATGCCCGTCTGGCGCTACACGTTTCTTTACCGGTCGTCTCGTTCGCTCACTACGCTTTCTGTCATTTCCGTCAGAGACTCCTATGCTGAACGACGTTCATTCGACACGGTCGTATCCATTGGCAACTTTCTTGCAAAAGACAAGAGAGAGGATAGAGTAGAGGATCTGGATTGCTAACGAACAACATAACGCGGCAGGAGAGCATTCCGACGAGAACATGATCCGCCCGATTCGGAGGCTGTATGTGGCGTGCGATCTGATCAAACCAAGTACGATGAGAGCAAGAGGTGGGATGAGCGAGAGAGTTGGAGAGGGAGAAGCAAAGGGTTGCTCCCTGCCAGGATCGAACTGGCGACCTTCAGTTTGGAGTATAACGCATGAAAAAGTGTACCAATGGATCTGGGTATCTATCCTTTTGTAATGGCAAACCATTAATATGGCACTTGGGCGATGCTTGTTGAATCTCCGGAATGGTTACAAAGAAGCGAAAGACAAGAAATGAAGCCGTAGATGTAGCACGCTAATTGAGTACCAAAAATTAAGTATTATTGGAGGTCGGACGTCTTCAAGCGAAATCCAATCAGTCCTGATTGTTAAAAGGGCAACGAATATAGGAAAACGAATAGCAAAAATTCCGATTAATAATATAATATTAAAGCCGGGAAGCGAAGGTTTGTAATGTGTGACGATCATATACCGTCAACTTTCAACTGATCCAATGGATATTCAAAACGATTCGTCACCCAGCTCTTTTTTCAATGACAAACCTCGTGCAGTCATACTCAAATATAATGGTCTACGTATGAGACTCAGGATAGGATGATTAAGATGCTCTAGTTAGAGGACACCGTGGCCGTGCGATAACTTATCGCCCGGTCGGCGGAGGCTATTACTGACCATACGTGCGAAAGTACATGCGTGCTTGCGATGTCGATGCTGATTTTAACGGCATAGATGGAGTCTGTCTCGAAAATAGAGATAAATCTAAATATAAACATAATGAAGACGACGATGTCGGTATTTTCAGCATCGTTAACAACTGCATCAGATTCTTGTGACAATACCATAGGCATGAAACCTGGTCGCACAAAGAACAGATCTATCATATATATGGAAGCTGCCCTTTTGACCACGACCATCTTTGCTTTACAAGAATGACCCTCTGTTTAACATTTAATTGCAAAAAACGCACTTCGTACGATTCTATTTGTGATCAGCACGATATATCTGTGAATGTTTTCTGTCCTGCTCATAATCCCGATCATTGCGTAATGAGAGCGTCAAACTATTATGTTGCTCAGCATTAAGCGATTCCGACATCTCAACCGGGTCATATCTTCCCGTCACCACCACATTCGGCAATGCATTCGTGCGGGTGGTCAACGATTTCTAGTGTAGCGGACCTTAATCCACCGATAACTGAAGGGACGTCCGACAAGTCGGCTGGTCTGGTGGCGCAGGTCACCCCACTGACATCGCAGGGAGCCTGGACTCTAGATATTGCTTGACACAATCGGTCTCGTTCATCCGTACGATAAAGCCCACTCGATAGTTCAAGATTGTCGTTTGTTAAGAAACACCCAAAACTTTCGTAAAGGGATCTCAAGGGCGGAACTACTTAGCTATCTTAGAGGAGATGCATGCTCTCCGATTGGAGTGACCAGAGAGCAAGGCCTTCCTACGCGTACGATTAGTGTTGCGGGGCACCGACGACTACGTACTGGTCTGATAGTATAGAGTCAACTATCACTGACAATAGTGAAGGTCAGTGCCCAGTTAGGTGTAGACGCTACACAGAGAAAGGTAACGACTAAGGTGAAGAATCTATTCGTGGTAAAAGTAAAACTATTATTTGATACAATTAAGTCCATTAACTCTTGTTTCTCTGTTTGTCCTGAATTAATTATATTAACATAACTAAAAGTATGATGACGTCTACTCACCACCCATTGCGCGCGTCTAGCAGCGATGGGTAGGTTGATATAATCTCAATATCAACCAATGAGTAGACCCTTCGGTCATCCCAACAATATCACTATACTTAGTGGTATTGTTAAAAATATTCAACTTAATTTTCTGTATTGCCATTTTCTTCTTAATGACAATTTCATACAACGGGCTACCCCGTTACAATCAGCGTTGCCAATACAACTCTGACACGGACCTAATTGTGAGACACAAAGCGAGCCCATTCCACTCGACAATTAGGAAAATCGATACCGCACACCGGTCGGGGTGCGTTTCAAAACGTACTGCGGGCTGCAGTAGCTTTTTCAATCCAGGATTTACTGCCGATGCATGTAATATTTTGAACGGATTGATTCCACGCTTAAACAAACGCGGAAATGTAACGTGCACGATATAAGTTGTACCATCAATGTATAAAGAAGGCATTACGTAGAAGCCGAGGCCCGCGCGAAACTTGCCCGCACGAACGTCAAGGCCATGACGCCTTGATGAATTAAATAAAGCGATTCGGTTTTGATCGTTGGTCGACCCAGCCCATCGATACAAATCCGGATATGACACCAACAATTGCTTGTTCTCAGGACCGGGACGCATCGTGGCGCGGGCTCTTTTTTCTGCGCAATGTAAGTAGACGTTCCAAAATCATGACTGTCACAATCACTTCGATAGCTTCGACTCCAGTAAATATAACTCGAATGACCACCAGCAGCACGAGAATCACTATCGCGTGCGGGCCCCTCACGTCATGCTCGAGTATGAAATGAATGACCGACACGGCGACAGTGGTACTCGTGGGAATGAACTAGCCAGGTAACGTACCGTATGTCGTATCAGGAGGTCCGAATAATTGTTCACCAATGCTTCCATACGCGTCACCATGATGAGACTCTCGAATCGTACCCATCGAATCCTCGGCTTCGCGAGAAGGTTTAGCGGGATTTCGGGTCAGATACTACTGCAGTCTTGCCATAATTAGATGGCCTCCATTTCGGGTCATCATTGCTTCTGGGGATTACAACCGCGACAGGTTCAGCGAATGCGCTGGCTACATGAAGTGTATCACTAACTGAACTTGCAACGATTGACGTTGTAGGCTGCTCAGTAACAGCAGCAGGAGAATGATCACGAGCTGCTTGGCTTTGGGATCCCTCTCACCAGCTGCTCATACTCTTGTAGCGCGTTTTTGGCGACTTTGGCTGCACATCGCATGGACTTAATAACTATATGATTACAATTAAGTAATGGACTGTACCAATCTCATAAGTGCATCCATTTCCCAGAGTCATACGACGGTGATGATTCTGTCACCTGTTAGTTGTCAATCACTCACAAAAGTGGCTGATGGAAAAGGGAGGTGGTGCAACGAAGTGAGCTCGTTACGTGTCATCGACACCAAGTTGGGTCATTTCGAATATTATCTCAACTGATAATATTCTCCAATAGTTATTAATCGTGCTCGTTAATATTGCAGGGATAATATCGTCGAAGCTAAAATTCGGCATTGCATCGCTCAGTGGTTGAGATAGGCCATTACATCAAATAACTCCACCACAATTGCTGCTAGACGCGCGCAATGGGTGGTGGGGAAGTAGCTATATTGCATGTTTGTAGTTCATTATAGCTAGAAGAGAAAGAAAAATGGGTTTTACTAGGAGAATTGACTGAAATACAATTCTACTTTTTCCTTCTCTTGAACGTGTTCGTTCGGAAGATAAAAAGTCGTGATTATTAGGTGGACCACCCTCATCTAGAAAGCTGTAGCCATTTCAACTAACCAATTTTAATACCGAGACGAAGTTCAGAATCTCCCCATTGCTGCTAAACGAATTACCAGTAATTGCGTTTGGTTGTGGCATCAAGCATGACTGTAGTTCAAAGAAAATGACTGTAAAATCTAGTCTATTCTACTGGTACAAGCGCGGTAACTTCATTGAATTCTTTTCTTATTATGTCACTGAATCCGATCTTATCACGCTCTTGCCGCGCGACTACTTTTTGGTGGTTTCATGTGGCCCTCATCATCTTATCCGTGCCTGAGGACGCTATATGATGTGTCTGGCTTTCGGCTTCTAACACCATTATCTTTTCTTTTGCCTGCATAGCCCGAATAAACTACCACTCTTTTCTCGATTACAGCTTTTTGCCTTGCCATCTCCTGCAGATGAAGCGAGCTTCAACTTAGAGATCACAATTGTGTCCAATGAAATACGAGCCCGTATCTTCATTTGGAACGATGCCGCAAGAATGGACGTCGTTAGTGGTGGCGTCGGAGCTCGTGGCGGCGCTATGCACGTCATTGTGGCTGGCAACAAAGCGCTCTGGACGCGCTGATCGCCGCCCTCTCTTCAGCGGACCCGTTGCGCTTCTGCATCCTCGCGGTTGCTGGTCGCTACGCACTTTACTAGCGTTCAGGGCGAGCGCCGCGACTTTTTTCCTCCTGGTTCAACTCTGGGACGTGTGGCGATCGCGAGGCCGTTGTTTGGCCTTTTACACGTCGTGGAATTTTATCCTGCAGGGTGTATACTTCTTTAGGGCTGCGAGATCTACGAGACGTCGATTGCAGCGCCAACGGGACGAGAGAGTGGCAAGTTACGAGGCGTTGATCGATGGAGACGACGGTGGCGCTGATAGCGTCTTTACTGATCGCAGACGAATGACCCGAGACAGCGGGCAAGAGTGGATTGACCTCGAGCTAATACTGGACGTGTGTCTTGCTGCCTCGCTACTCATCTGCACCGTCGTGTGGACGGTGTTGTACCCATACGCACGCAAGGCCGGACACCCGGAGATGATCCTGAACGGAGTGAGCTACTGCCAGCATGGCGCCAACGTGCTATTGCTGCAAATTGATTTTTTCGCTACAAAGCACTTTGTCTCAAAGGATGCTTTGCCGCTGGTCATGGGCTGGCCTTCAGTGTATGCCGTCTTTGCCTGGATTGTCCATGGAACAGTAGCAAAAGGATTCTGGCCGTACCCGTTCCTTGAGCTAAACACCCCATGGGCTCCGTTTTGGTATGGAGGATTATTGGCTGCCCATATCGTGGCGTTAATGCTGGTCATGCTGCTGTCGAAGGTGAAGCACAAGGAGCAGCAGCAGGTGGAGACGGTAGCAGACGAAGTCAGAGCTTGATACCGCACGGTGGAGACGTTCCAGATGCCAAGATAAATTGACAGGTACTTTACAACTAGCTGCGCGAATAATTCATCACACGTTCGCAACGTTGTCAAGACGCGATGTTGACCTCAATCAATTCGCCGCCTTCCAAATCGTAGCTCTGATAAGAAACAGTCGCAACCAGTAAGTTTGAGCAAAAGTGCACAAATGCAACTTGGCCTGACGCCACTTACCGTAAAGGTTCGCGATGATGCCATTTTTTCTCCGTCAATCATGAGCGATATCTTTGAGGCCTTGCTTCCTTTCTCTTTCGCAACCTTAGCTAGTAGCACTGCAACCTCAGCATCCTACATAATATGCAAACAATCGTTACGCATACTGATTTCTGCGCGGACATCACCAAACCAGGATTACGAACCGGAATAACTTGGTGTATTTCGGAGTCGTCTTCCGAAAATCGTAGCTGTACCGCTATTGTCTGGCGTGATACAAGGTTGTCGCTAACCTTGACTGAGATTTCGTCGTGATCGATAAGCCCATAGAAATCAAGGCGTTCATTCAGCCGAAGTTCCTGATTTTGCATACTCATGACGACATCATCTGGGTTGGCGATGCCATGTCGCTTGCAATAACTCGTGTGCAGTTTCTGGATTGTTGCTGTCTATTTCAAATTGGCACCGAGCTGTTCACAACTGATACCGACAGACTCGCAATCAAGTTTCGTGTTGCACGTACCGAATCGATTTTATATATCTCGGATCGTCTACCGAACACCACCAACCGCAGGCGCAAATACCGCTTCTTCTTTGACTCAATTTGCTTCGAAAAGTCCACTTTAGCTTCAATCAAGTAGTCAGAGATATTGTCACCAACACAGTCCTTAGGTGCCAACACCTTCCCATCCAGAGACATTGTGACAGCCGTTCGCGGCAATCCATGTAGCTCACAAAAGCTCGTATACAGCTGCTCAAAAGTACCCTTCTGCAAACATGACGGCACCCTGATTACAGGTTCTGTCCTCACAACCACCTCGTTCCAAATTCACCTACCTTATAGATAGCAACCTCATCAACCGCACCACCATTAGAACGAACACGCAGCACGATTTGGGCTTCTTTTGCGACTGCAAGATTCGATGACGGACGCGCAACGGTCTCAATAAGACACGCGGCATCGCTATCGTCAGACGAGTCAGAATCGAGCGAGATCACTTCCGAATTGTCGGCTGTTGTCTGTCGTTTGGTGACCAAAACCTTGTTCAAGATGGCTCGGGTCTGATTCAGCACCTTATCGCTTTCCAGTTCCTGCCGAATCTCGCGCTCAAGCTGCAATTTGCGCTGATGATCTGCTTCTTTCTCGCTGGGTGAGTCCACATCGTTGTCTTCGTCACTGCTATGCGGCAGTGCTAGTAGGTTTCCTACAAGCGCACCAATGCAGACATAAGTACCACAAAAGTGTATTCGACAGTGTCCACTTCATTAACACCTTCTTTGACCAGACTTTCGCCACTTTTCGCATCTTTGTCCAGCGATGCACAATATCTTCGTCTCTTTACGGGCGTCTCCAGTATAGCAAAATCTTCAAAGCTGTTTCCATCATCGCTGAGTTCATCTGATGAAGATGAGAGCGACACTGAGGATCGACGAGATGGACGGCATTCGAGTGGCATTAGCGACTTGTCGGCGTTCCAACGACTGTAGGAGACAGCGTATTCACAAGAGGATTGGAGAGAGGTAACTTGCGTGACGCACCCATCATCTGTCGCTTCTTGTTGCGGTCCAACGCGCTGTAGAGCGTCACGCCTTCGTCCGAGCTCATCCTGCGCGCTCGGTTTGAACGTATGCTCCGGCGTCTTTTTGATTGGCAAACCACTGCAGCCACTTTCGACCAATCACAGGGAGTCAAATTGACTGGGGTGGAGCTGTTCGCCTATCGTTCCACTCACTGCTCCATTCTTCACGACGGGATGGCGTCCACGTCGGTCAAGAGCAAGAAACGCAGCCGCAACGCACAGGCTGCAGCTCTTGAGACCTCTGCACCTGCTGCGTCCTCTGAAAGTAGCAGTGGTAGCGACAGCGAGGACGAAGAGGTGGCAAACGCCCTGTTCCGTCCCGCTCCTAGACAAGAGATTGAAGCGGAACTAGAGCAGGTAGAACAGGAGGAAGGAGAGGCTGACAACGACGTGGTGCGCAAAGAGGAGGAGGAGGAAGACGAAGAAGGGAGTGGTGCGGTGGGAAAGAAACGGAAGCCGAAGAAGGTGAAGACGGAGAAACAACCGCAAGGCGAAGAGGACGAGGAGCTGAGGGAGGAGATCGACCGTAAGACGGAGGCGACAGTCTACGTGGAAGGAATTCCATACCGAGCTAGTGAGAGTGACTTGGTGACGCACTTTGCGTCGTGTGGAACGGTGCGTGAAGTGCGAATGCCTCGCTATCAGGACTCGGGCAAACCCCGGGGCTATGCGCATGTGGTGTTTGATGACGAGGCAGCACTTGAGAAGGCATTGCGGCTGGACAAATCGTACTTGTTTAAGCGCTACTTGTCGATCCAAATAGCAGAAGCGCCACGTGCTATCGAGATGGCTCTGAAAGAGAAAAACCAGAACGCAACGAAGAAGGCGGTGAAAGGATGCCGTACAGTTTACATTAAGCAGCTTCCGTACGAAGTTGAGGAGGACGTGATTCGTGAGGCGCTGGCTCCGTGTGGCACTATTACCAGTGTGCGACTGCCGATTTGGCACCACACGCAGAAGCTCAAGGGCTTTGGGTACGTCGAGTTTTCAAGCGAAGACGAAGCGCTGGCTGCTGCTCGTCGCAGTGGCATGAAGATTGGCGACCGTATGGTGCTCATTAGTCTGGATGCATTGGGAAGCGCACCGAAGGCCAGCTTTCGCCAGCGAGATGGACAGTACTGGAACAAGGGGGAGGAGGCCAAAAAGTCGCTAGCGAAGAAGATCAGCGAGAAGCGGCAGCGTCAGAGTGCGACAAAGAAGCGAAAGACGTCGACTAGGTAGCGTCAGCACCAAATGTACGAGACGTGTACGTGTCATTTGATCCAGCTCCAGCACCTTAGACTCGCGTAAAAACGTGGCCTCCACCAGTGTCCTCCTTCTGTAACCTCTTGCTACGTCGTAAACGCGAGGGGCTTGTGCTCGAAAGGAACGACCTCGAGGTTGCGAAAGCCGCGCACGCCTGCCGTGTGTTGCACTTGGTCGAACCAGCGCACGAGGCTGACAAACTGCTTTCGCTGGACAGACTGGAAGCTGCTCATAGCCGCGTGTAGGACGTAGAACAGCGCAGCGTCCGCGAGCGTCACGCGGTTGGCCACGAGGTACGTTTTCGTCTGCAAAGCGCTCTCCAGCACCTTCCAGAGCGAGACGGACGCAGCTGAGCACGGCGCACAGCGCTGAGTTCTGCGCGCAAAGTCCAGCCACATGGCCACTTGGGCGCGCTCGAAAGGCGTCTCGCCCAGCAGTTCGTGCTCGCGATCGGCCAAGCGCGTGAGGTACTTGGCGATGGTCGTGGGCTCACGCAGCTCCATGGAGTTGCCGAAGCGCACCCGCAGCTGTCCCGAGGCGGCTGCGTTCAAGTTGACGCCGCAGAAGCGGGCGACGAAGCGCACGAACTCGGCGTCTGCCGACTGGTCGAGCGCCACGGACATTTGTTGCGGATGGAAAGGACCTGGTCAAGAAAAGGAGAACGTCATACTTGATTTTGACAAGGCCAATGGGTGGGATTTGTTCGATGCAGTCTTTTCAGCACCTGCGGGTGTGAAGTAGACGAGCGGTTGTTCAGATGCAGCGGATATTATCCGTCGCAATCGACGACTCATTTCGACAGAGAAAACAGGCAGTCAACTAGTGCCGGCACGCGGCGAGTTTGTGTGGACAACACGCTCGCCAGCTAACAGAGAGACACACCAATGTGACGATCGCGTGAAACGCCACACGAACACCTCACGTCCCCCGGACCGTCGAACGTGGCGCTATTGCCGACGAATGTTCGAGAACGTGCATCTGGATCTCATGTGATATTCGATTGCAAAGCAAAATTGACGATGTCTGGTGCTTTTTGCAACCGCACCCAACGAGTGATAGAGACCACAGAAAAAAGAGCATTTGATGCTCTGGATCTGCTCGTGGCTGACATGTTGCCGTCTAATGTGAAGCGCTACTTCACTGGACACAGAAAGAGCCGGACCTCTATTGTGATAAAAACGTACGGTTGGATTGGCTTAACGCGTTTTTGGCGCGTGATTCGATGGCAATGATTAGGACGCTAACATTGCTGGACACTTTGTGTGTATTGTGCAGTGGCATTGCAGATTGTGTTGTGCAGCGGCATTGGCAGATGACGAGAACACGTCCACGGGATCCTGATCGGTAACCGAGTGGGAAGGCGCGTGTGAACAATACATGTTGGTCCATTGACTCGACTTTTTCGTGTCAAGTATGATGATGAAGTTAGGGGTTTCGCTCGGAAGCCGACACATCCACGTGGTGGCCAAATTGTGGGGTCTGATGTGCTGTGCTTTGTAACACGAAGACGTGTGCATACTTGGTATTGCAGGAATGATTCGGAGTTGTTTCGAATGTACAGATGCAGACCCTTGCAGGAACTCAGTGGCAACATAGCGCATCGCAGGTTGTGGCGCAGCTAGCAGTGATGCCTGACTCGCTTTGCTGTTTGCAACGCCAAAGGAGCATTGTGACTGTACTGTTTTGTTCGACTGGAGGCTCGGAAACTTTGATTCGCCAGCATAGGCAACGGTGTACGTTGACGTGACCGAACAGGAAGAAGTGCGCACACGAGCCAGCGGAACTCGAGTACGAGCGTTCCTTGCTGCATCTTTTGGCATGTCTTTCTGGACGAAGCGATCATCGGATGGTTGTGCACAGTTGTAAGGTGTGGCAGTAGATGAACGTCATTGGGGCTGCATCTTCCGTCCATCATGTCGGCTGGTAGCCAGGCGTTGGCCAATTTGTTGCTGGCAACATTTCGACCGATCCTGAGTCCTAGACGATCGAGAGTATCAATGACCCGCGTTACAGAGCGACGCTTATGTTCCATGCAGCGACAATATTGTCGACTTGTGTCTATTCTTGATGCTGTTCAACGAAGTTGCCCTACTCTAGACGATCGATAGCGGCCTTGACGACATCGATGAAGTCAGCAAGTGGTTTAGCGCCGTGCACTTGGTTGTCGCGCGTGCGAACGTTGACCTCCTGCGCGGCCTGTTCCTTGTCACCTACAACAAGAATGTAGTTGAACCCCGCGACCTGTGCGTCGCGCACACGCTTGTTAAGTGTCTTGCTGTCGTCTTGTACTTCGACAAACAAACCGCGTGGAGTGGCCTTCTGTAACTCACTCGCAACCTCGTGAGCGTACTCGCGGTGTGCTTTAGCAATGGGCAATACCGCCACCTGTCTCGGGCTGAGCCACAGTGGCCACTTGCCACCAGTGTGCTCAATCAGGATTGCCATCATCCGCTCAATCGATCCTAGTACGGCACGATGGATGATAATAGGAGTGTGAGGTTCGCCATCAGCACCGTTGTACTCGAGCTCGAAGTTGATCGGCAGCTGAAAGTCCAGCTGGATCGTACCACACTGGTGCTGACGCTTCAAGGCATCCGTCACGACGATGTCGATTTTCGGCCCGTAGAACGCACCGTCGCCTTCGTTGATACTCCACGGTTGGCCAAAGTCGTCGAGAGCTAAACGCAGCTGATCTTCTGCGTCATCCCAAAGCTCGAGCTTGCCCATGTACTTCTCGGGACGCGTCGAGAGACGCAGATTGAACTTGAAGCCAAAGATGCCATACACGTGCTTGACGAAATCGAGAGCATGAGCAATCTCCGATTGTACCTGACGAGCTGTGCAAAAAATGTGCGCATCGTCCTGGTGAAAACGGCGAACTCGAGTTAGCCCCGACAGTGCGCCAGACGCCTCATTACGATGAAGTGCCGAAAAGTCAGCGAGACGGATCGGCAATTCTCGGTACGAGTACTTCTTCGCTTCGCGGAATATCAAGCAGTGTCCTGGGCAGTTCATAGGCTTCAGTCCGAATTGATCGTACTCATCTCTAGTGTGAGCGCCATCGTGCCCTTCGCATGACTGCTTCCCGTCATCTGTGCCAATGCCTTGGGAAACCATAAACATGTCATCATGGTAGTTCTTGAGATGACCCGACGTCTCCCACAGCTCCTTCTTGTAGATCAAAGGTGTAATTACCTCCTCGTAACCACGTCGGCGATACTCGCGGCGGATAAAATCGGCAAGCGTATTGAATATCCGCGTGCCATGAGGCAGGAAGAAAGACGAGCCAGGGCTTAGGGGATGAAACATGAAAAGCTGCTGGGCGCGGCCGATGATGCGATGATCTCGCTTCTTCGCTTCTTCCTGGAGGTGACGCCACTCCTTGAGCTGCGTGTTATCGGGAAACGATATAGCATAAACGCGCTGCAACAACTCCTTTCCCTCCCAGTGCGATGCACCACATCGCGTAATCTCAAACGACGACAGTACGCCTGTCAAACAAAACAGAAGAAAGCACGCTCTCAGTCCCACGTACACAACTTAAGCGACTACCATATGCGATGTGTGCCCACGTGTAGCTCACCGACACTCAATGCGAGAGTGGGGAGTCGTTCATGTGCAAAGTTATATAGGACCGGGTCGGAAAGCCATTCGAAGGAACAGAAGAGTAGAATGGAGCGCATCGCGTCTCAGCTACTTTCCACTCTTTCTACTCGTATAAAGCAGATAACGGGTCCAGCCATAAAACAAGCACACAGCTTACGTACCAGTGTGCGGGACGTGAGGACCGCGGCACAAATCAATAAGTGGCCCACAACGGTAGAGCGATATCGCCTCTCCTTCCGGAACTTTATGCAACATGTCACGTTTGAAGTCCGAGTAGGCAAACAGCTCATTTGCAAAGTCGCGCGTCACCTGCAGTCGTTCGAACGGTTGCCTGGCCTTGACAATCTTTTTTACACTTCGCGCAATCTCGTCAAAGTCCATTTCTGACACGGTGTCTCCATCCTGCAAGAACATTTCGTAGAAAAACCCTCCCTCGCTTAACACCGGGCCGTCCGTCAGTCGAATCTTGTCTCGAAACTTGTGTTCTAGTGCCTGTAGATCACGACAGACCATATCAAGCAGCGGTAGCCGTGCTATCGGTTAGAAACTTCCCACCGTATCACTTTCTTCCTCCAGCCACTCTGTACCTGTCCTAGAACGTGCGCGGACGAGTGCCAAAACACGCTCTTGCCTTCGTCACTCGAGAAACTGCATCCACCACAGCACAACAACCAACACAGTTACACGCAAGTCCTGCTACCTGTCAAGTCCTTCCAGGTGTCTCGTACTCGAGTAGCTGCAGCGAGCCGGACCGTTGCAACGGCGTACGTAGATCCAGCAGCTCGTTGTGGCTCTTCGAAGCCAGTGCTTGGAATTTGGGCAGTCCCATCTCGTGCATCTTCTTCAGTACATCAATGGACGTGGACGCCCCTGCGGTTCCACGGAAGGCAAACACGCCTGGCGTCGCACCCGGATACTCGACCGCTAGCTCCAGTGGCTCTGCGCGACTCTCCGCCTGCTCTGCTGCTTGAGTCATCACCACCTGCTGTCGCTCCATCTCCTGTGTCCACAGGACCATGCGCTTGTCGCATATGGAGAGCGTGGCCAGCCCTGCGCGCTGTCGATGCAGCAGGCGCCCGCACCGCGTGCTCGAGTACATGTGGTCGAATGACTCGTGCGAGGAAGTCACGACGTTTGATTGGCAGAAAACAGACGACTGTCGAAGGCCACCGTGACGGAATAACTACCACTCAGCATGAAGCGGGTCGCGCGTCGCGTCCAGAGCTGGTCCTCGAGTCGCGAGGAGGTCCGACTGCGCTTTCGCTGCACCGAGTGCGGCAAATGCTGCACAGGCCGCGGCGGACGCGTCCGTGTGAACGATAGGGAGCTGCAGGATCTGGCAGAAGCCACGAACTTGTCGCGAGCGGAGCTGGAGCGGAGCTGTACGCGCACAATCGTCGAGGACGGCGCTGACGGGCACAAGAAGACGCAAGTGGTGCTAAAGCAGACGACGGACGACCGTCAGTGCATCTTCCTGCACGGATCAAAGTGCTCCGTGTACCAAGCGAGACCGACGCAGTGTCGGACGTTTCCATGGTGGCCACAACATCTCGTGTCGGATTATGACTGGCGACTTGCAGCGAAGGACTGCGAAGGCATTTCCGTGGACGACGAAAGAGACGGGCAAGAACGCACTCCCAGTTATTCGCTTGATGATGTGATGCCGGAAGTTGTCATCCATGATGTGAGATGGGGTGTGGTCTTTGTAGTGCGGTTGGGGCGTTTACAATACAGTGACTCACTTGCTCTTGCTGCTTCTAGATCCACCGATCGGGTGAAAACTTTACCTACAAAGAGCTGCAGCAAATGCTGTGTGACTTGCGGGAAGTGGAGCCGGAGGTGGTGCTGCAGTACAAGGCTGAGTTTTTTGACAAGTTTTCAAGACGAGTGGTTTTCAACGACGACGAGGTCACGGTACTGGACAGCTTGATTGATGGACCCTCGCGTAGCTTTGTGTTCAATAACCGGTTACAATTGACACAGAGCGAGGTGGCACTGTGTCGAATGCCGGACGCTCGGGCTGACGCCGAGCCAGAATTCGACCGGACGGCGTTGGCTCTTGAGGTGCATCGAGCGCTGTGCATGCCTCTCGCGTGGCTTCTGAAGCGTGACAAGAAGCCACGACCATTGCGTGTGTCGGTTTTGGGAGCCGGAGCTTGTACGCTTCCGTTGTTTCTTCTAGAACATATCTCCCCTCGCGAGCTTGGCCGACTTGACGCTGTCGAGCCAAGCAATCGAGTGAACGCTATTGCAAAGCGCTTTTTTGGAGTTACTGCAGCCGTACAGAGCGACCAGCGACTAGTGATACACGAGAAAACGGGCGAGGACTACCTCGCAGAGCAAAACGAGGATGCTGCGTTTGATTTGTTGGTGCTGGATGTTGAGAGTGGCGAGAACTGCGCTGGCGTGCTAGCGCCACCGTTGGCAATGCTGGAGTCAAACTTCTTGATTACGGCAAAGCGTGTGCTCGTGCCTCGTGGTATCTTAGCAATAAACGTGATTGCTGAATCCCATGCAGCGCTAGAGCAAGTGGAAGCCAAGCTCGGGCACGTCTTCTCGCATGGGCTACGTCTCTCGCTGTCAGCGAACACGACATACTTCCTCTTTAATGAGGAGTGCGACGATGACGCCTGCTTGGAGGTGGACAAATACGGCCGGCTGGTCAAAGATAGTGTGTTCCAGACGCAGCACGCGCAGACACCAGCACTGTTGGAGCGATGCCAGCTGACTGCATGGAACTCGCCCAGCGCACGTTGAATTATACATGATTCTGGCGAGTGTTTTATCAGCTGCCTCGTTTGTTCATTGCGCGTCAAACATGTATCGGGGCTGGCGATTTGGGGCGATAGCAGTCAACGAATACAACTGATGATCTTTGAACGCGACGATGTTGTATTCCGTGCTCCTTGGGCATTACTTCAGCAGGATGAGTTAGACCTTGAACTGAAAACTCGATTCGAAGCTACCGGATGCTATGAGTGATAATTCTGGCGACAAACCAGTAGACCTCGAGCCTTTTGTCTTGCGCACGAGGTACACGCACGAACGACGTCGTGGGGCAAAGCACAAGGAAATACGTGATATGGTAGTCATAGATGCACTGCATCCTCTTGCAAATTAGCATTAGAACCGGATCCGGTTTTCGGGAGAAGGGTTCACACAATAAGTAGCAGATTCTTGCTTCCTCCTCTATCTCTTCAAGCCAGCCTGATGTCTCTTGCGGACGAGTTTGGTGTTGCCCAGACAAGAAGGTATGCAGATATCCGACTGGCCCGATGAACGTATATGTGGTAGGGCCCGACATTGTCTTTGACGAAAGTTGGGTCTCCATGAGAGCACGAAAAGCGAAATGTCAATGTCGAAGCACACAGTTCTCGACGTGGTCGCGCTTGCTCATATAAAATGGTCGCTACATCGTACTGCAATTCCTGATGCACGCTGTGCCATGTCCATCCACTCGGTCAGTGAACGTGCTTTGCTTTTGTGCCACACGATGCCGAATTGCACAGATCTATAGAAAACAGCGTGACATGCGTTGTTTTCGGTCTTCGACTCGAGTGGCGCAATGTCATCCGAGCCAAAAAACTTGCTGAGGAGAAACTCCACACGTACAACTGTACACATGACTGTGTCATTCGATGACAATCTGCTGCGTTTCGTGCTGTAGTGCACCTTCTCCGTAAACAAGACCCCGTACAAGTTTCGAAAAGTGCACTTGTATGGACGTTGTCTCTTCGTTCAGCGAAAAAAACGCCTCACACACGACTCACCGCTCAGCTCCGTTGCTGACACTGTAATGCTTAGTAGCTATAGGGACATGCTCTCGAGTTTTTTGCGGTGACTAGAGCTTCGAATGCACATTTGAAGCACCTGTTTGGAATCGCGCCACATGTCGATCGACACGGTTTCGCGAGTGACTATGCTGCGGCATTGCTGTTGCAAGCTTGGTTGGATAGAGCAGCGTATCGTGGATTACAAAACGCACGAGGTGGTCAGGTTGGCTGATGCTTCTCGACGATTTATCCTTAACAAGCAGGATGTCATTGCAATTTGTTACAGGCAGTCCCGCGTGGAAGACGTCCGATGTATCGAGAAATAATTACAAAGGAGTAATTGGAATAGCTGAGTACTGTCATGCAGAGAAGGCAAAATGTATCGGTGTAGACGCTTGGCACATGTCACGATGTTTTGACTACTTTGACGCTTCACAAATTCGTAGTGACGAAGTTGGAGAATTCAAGAAAGAGGCTGTCTCATGCGCACACAAAGCTGCGTAAGAACTTAACTCGCACATCATCAACATCTCGGCGACAATGCACATGCTAAGTAGCACGACCCATGTCCTGCCAAGCTGAGGCTCCTTCACTGAGCGCACGTAGTCCGCGAAATCCCGACAGATGTAGATCTTCCAATGCCGGACTTCACAATTATAATTCCAATCATTCCCTCGCGATGCGCGGTTCTTTCTTCTTCATTGGGCCTCGTACGGATGGATGTCTTTCTCGCGATCAAGCGGTGATGTTACATTGTAGCTTCCGTTTGGTCAGCATGAGACCACGCAAGTGCATGTCCACCTCGCAGACTTCGAGGTATTCAGTGCGTGGCCTTTGCCATTTGTTCACGTCAATGGTAACGCATCAAATTTTCGTTGACAGCGAACCCACGAATTGAAAAGATGATCGCAAACGGTCGCTGCTTGGTCACCTGCTGATCCTTTGTGTTGTTGTCGACAGCTTACCATTCTCAGCTTACGAATTGCACGTGTGCACTCAAAGGTGTTGCTTTCACCGCCACAAAGCTGCGACGTCTGTGGGCACTGACTGGTACATGCACCAATCACTCTTGCCATTCTTACACCCGTAGCTTGAATTGGACTCATTGCACGTAGCAGCAAAACTTCGTACTCTGCTGCTCCTCCGAGCCGTGTACGCCACTTACTTGCTGGACTCAGAGCTCGAATGGAGCATTGACAGATGTCTGCACGTAGTCTCGGACGATAGTGGTGACGATTAAGAGGATCGAGCCGGGCTTCACGATGACCTTGGTATTGAGATGAGCAAGTTGCATCCATTGTCTTCATCCTGGTCATATGTGGCATTCTGTCCAACAAAGTAGATTGAATTGACTTGGCGCGGCACAACCCCACCTTTTCACATTCGAATACCCAGTACGCTGCACAATGAACGACTCACGAATCAGTGACCCATGATGAGTAAATGCCGTCGGTGAGCAACAGTTTGACACCCTGATCATTTCCGATTGACGCGTGAAAAGCCCAACAGAAGTATTGACACAGTCAACACACCTTTGCTGCTATGGACCTTCCTGCCATCCGTTCAATTCGTTGGTCCATCTTCGACCAGCACGGTACCCATGCAGGCGTTTACCCCAAAGCCGAGCTCACCAGACTCCTCAAGTTGCTAGCGGAACGTCAGCGTTGCTACATGTCATGACTACCGAGGTTGAAGGCCACGTAACGTGATTGAGACGATGTGCCACACGGCAGAAGCGTGGTAGATGGATGGCGCCTTTTTGCGATGACTTGATGTGCAAGAAACAGGTGACTGCACTAGTTTCTGATTGCTGTGTGTGTGTGTCTGTACGTGATCATGCATATTGGTCGGTAGGCCAAGTTCGTGCATCGAAAGCATGGCTATTTTTCTCTTAGTTTGCCTGATTGACAACCAATAGCGATGCTGTGCTTACCTTGTGAAGACAACCAACTCGAGAATGTGATGGTGTGTGTATGTGCTGTGCCTTATCGGCGATGCCATGGAAGAATCGGACGATGTTTCATTAGCTTTCAAGAAGTCCATCGAATACATCGTTAAAGGCAGAAGATATTGGCAATATCTTGGTGCTCCTACTTGCTTCGTACTTGACCACAAGCTGCAATACCCTATTTCATTTAGCGGGGTCCAGCCCAAGTCAATTTTGTGCATTTTTATTTTACGCTCTTTATACATCTACTGGAAACAACAGTCGAATCCTTACGTGCTTCGTGAAGTCTCTGGGTGTTGACATTTACCTTTTTGCAATAACTATAGAACGTGAAATCCGTAAGGTTGTAACCGCCTCGAAGAAAAATGAGATCAAAAATAAAGTACGCTACAGCACTGTCGTCTCCGTATGCCAGTCCGGAATCCCGTTGGACATGTGCTCACAGCTCAAAGAGATTTGCAACACAACGTCCGGCCTGGAACTGTGAGACAACAAGCACCGCAGGTTTCCAATACGCCTATGCCGTTTCCGTTCTCTATCGAAGCGACAGGCAGCGAGCGCCTTCGCATCCGCTCGCAATCTTTCTGCTGACGATCGCATCCATCAAAGAGGCTGCAAAAGCCAGCTAAGCTACCCATCACGAGCAAGTCTAGAACTCGTAGCTCTCGCCGTCAGCCGAAGACACACGCCTCGGACGGAGACCATCAGCATTTGCCGGTTCATCGTCCGATGCTGTCGTGGCAAACGAGTCGGCCGCACAGTAGGACTTGTCGTGGAAATCGTACGTTGACTGCGTGTCGCCAAGACCATTGTCCGACTTAGTCGCTTCGAATGCCGACCCAGTCACGTCTAGTCCATGACCTATTCCAGCGCCATAGCTGCTGCCAGGTTCATCGGCGCCGTAGCTGGAACCACTGAGACCAGAGTTATAGCTAGATCCCTCCAAGTCACTACTGAGGCTGCTTCCTTCGTCATAGTCACCAAAGCTGCTTGGCTGCGTGAAGTCGCCCGTCCGGCTACCACTGAAGTCAGACTTGGCGACAATGTCAGTGACGCCGCTGGCTCCGAAATCAGAAGCCCCAACGATGTCTGCAGTGCTGGCAAAGCTTCCACCATACTTAGCCACACTGTTGACGGTACTGCCAAACCTCATCTTGCCGTCAATGTCGTCCGAGCTAGTAGTGCTGGCAAAATCGGTGCTGGCGCTCGAAGCTCCAAAGTTGGCGGTGCTGCTGTCATGAACAACAAACTCAGCGCCGTCGCTGGAGTTGGAATTGGCAAAGCCGTCGGAGGCCGGACGATCGGGTTTCGCCATCTTTGCCTTCGCGATAGCAGACATTGTCAACGTCTCATCCAGCGGTTCAAACTTCACTGGCTTCTGAGCACGAACAGAAGGTTCGTCTTGTGTAAAGTCCACGGTACCGATCGACGAGACCGAGCTGCTGCGATCTCCGCTAGATCGCCTACCGTCGCCATCGAGTGCAGACGTGAGCATGGCGTCCATTTTGTCGCCACGTGGTGGCTGGTCGAACTTGTTGTATTCCGCAGTTTCGCCCATGCTCGACAGGTCGGACTCACGTCCATAGCCCCCGATAAGCGGGTTGTATGTAGGCTGAGCGTAATTCGCGTTATCCGTGTTGAAGTCGAAAGAAGTACCCATAGACGTCTCACTTTCAAAAGATGGACCATCATCACCAGCCTGGATGCCAAAGGTCTCGAGGTCCGGAGTGCGCCCATACTCAAGGTCAGAGTCTTCTTCGACAATGCGAGACTCACCTTCATACATTGAGTCGTCGGGATACATCGACTGCGATTGATTGAACTGGTCCCTGCCCGAGCGCCCAGAAGCGCCAAACTTGTTGCCAGACCCCTGCATCGGAGTGTCGTAGTTGTTGTACATGATGCCAGAGTCACCAGGACCCCGGCTTGAGTGGAGAGAACCTGATGATGACACGGTCTTGTTCTGACGGCTGAGTCTGTCATTGAAGACGAGGGCGCTGGCATTCAGTGCCGGACCTCGAGAGTTTTGCGCCGAGAAGTTGTCCTTGACGCCAGAACTAAGCCCTGTGTCGGGCTCGGCACTCCAGTCAAGATGGGACTTGGACTTGTTTGCACAATTAGACGCTGGCAAGTCAAAGCCGCTGTTTCGAAAGTGGTCATTGTCCCGTCCAGGTCGGCGTTTGCGGCGGTTGAACACGACCAAGAGAATCACAGCAACCACGACAGCCACTCCACCGAGAATCATGGCCACCGTTGCGCCAGTCGACATCCCCAAACTGCTATCAGCAGCTGCACTGGTTGTACTAGCCTCCACATTCGTCGTCAAGAACGTGATAAAGTGGTAACTCTTCTTCAGATAATCCTTCGGTGGCAGGATGATGTGCGCAAAGACATTCCGCTCTCCTGGGCTACCGTACATAATCCTCTGACGGAAACTCGATGTGCCAGCGCTAGTAAAGTTAGATGTCTCTTGGTCGACAATTTTGCGGTTGCTGCCGGGCCGGAAGATATCACACACTGTCGAACGCGAGCACGTGTGGATGTTAGCGTGACCGATCTGCATGGGGAGACCCGTGGTCGGGTCAGGAACCGTCGTCTGTAGCTCCGTGAGGTTAAACACATTGTCATTCAGATTCAAAGTGGCGGTGAACGTGTACTCGACTTCGCTGCCCGAGACGATGGTGCCAGTCGTGGCCTGCTGAAGCGAGACCGTGAGCGGACAGGCAGAGCCGACTCCCTCGTCCAGCACGTAGGCGAAGTCAAAGTTGGACACTTGCATGCCCTGGTCGATCCAGTAGCAGTACGTGGTCGTGCCATCGTACTTGTAATCTGCGCAGCAGCATCGTCACAATGAACAACACAATGTCAGTCGATGCGCATCATCAGTGCGAGAATACATGAGACACGCAAAGACGGCAGAAGGTCTCGTACCGTAGAGCGAAGGCGCAGTGTCGGCCGAGACGAAGGCCCTCGCGGCGAGCACGAGACCCACGGTCTGCCCCAGTCGCGAAAAAATGCCGCGTCGGACCGTCATGGCGACGACGGAGAAGAAGAGCGCGGTGAGCGGCGGTTCCAGCAATGGCCAATCGGTTCTGGCTTTCTTCTTGTCCCGCTACGTTTGACGATTATTAATACCGGGGTCCGTCCGTACACAGGGATGGGGCTCCACGGGGTCCGATGATTGGCCAGTGCGAGGCGCTCGTGTATACTTTATCGAGCTGAGCAAGTGGCGAGCACGTAGCGTCGCCAGCAGGTTTGGCGTAATAGACATGTCGGGGCTCCCACAAGCTCCGAGACGATCGATCAACGGGCGTTGGCTTGAGCCCAGAGGCGGGGAGACCGCCCTTTTTCTGAGCGATCCCTGGTGATCACGGTGCGCGCATTGTCTTCACAAAGGGAACCAAGACGGGACGCACAGGACCGGATGTACGATAGGGCGTGCACGGCTGGCCTTTCTGCTGCTCGAACTGCCTTCCACGACAGTCACACGCCTACAGGCGCTGCTTTTGCCACAAGTCGGAGGAGCACGAGGAGGTCGTGCAGCCGACGACCCACGGACGTCTTGACTCGTCCTTGCGCGAAGTCCCGAAAGCGCAGTCGCTTAGAAATAGGAACACCCCGCAACGCGGACACATTTCTGAACCCATTCGCACAAGTTGGTACACCTGGAGTATACACAGTCTGATGGACAGTGGGCAGCTATGTACGTAGCTACTCGTCGTCTCGGAGGAGTGTATACCTGGAACGTATACCAACCAAGCACCAATCCTACTGTATCTCCTTAGCGCAATGCCGCAGGACCGTTGCTTACGCTTCGCGAGTGTGGCGGTTGGACTGCTGCTCATGGGGTGCGTGGGCTCCAACCACTCGATCTCTGTCTGGAACGTGCAGCTGCGGGCGCTGCTGGGCTACTCGGGGGCGGACATCTCACTTGTGTGCGCCATGGCGTCTTTTGGCGCGTACTTCTCCATCAGCCCCGGCTGGATCTATGACCACATTGGCGCCCACTGTAGCGTTCTGCTGGGCGGCGTCTTGATCGCCAGTGTCTATTGGACGCTGTACGCTGGAATGGTAGCGAGTCCCGGAGATATGGCACCGCTGGGCGTAGGGCTCGCGTTGGCGGTCCTCGGACAAGCCACGAACTTTGGTGTGTTCGCCGCGCTGGGACTGAATGAGGATTTGTATGGACCGGAGCATCGCGGCAAAGTCATGGCGCTGGAACTGGCGGCGTTTAGCGCCGGCGGTGCGCTTTTCGCTGAAGTGTACAAGCACTTCTTCGACGGGAACGTCCCGTTGTACTTTCGATTTATGGGCTGCCTGATGCTCGCGGTTTTTCTGCTGGCGTGGGTCGCTCTGTATCGACCTGACAAGGAAAACGCACTGCACTCTGCTATGACTGACACCGACCTGTCGATATGTGCACCCGACGGAGTCGTGTCGCCTGCCCCGAAAGTCCACGTCGACAGGGACTGCAGTCTCGTTCCGATGGTGCAGTGTGACAGTGCTGCGAGCTGCGACGCCTTGTACGAGTTCCGATTCTGGTTGCTCTTTGCTACGGTGTTCATACTCGTGGGGTCGTCTCTGTTTATAATGGCGAACATTGCGTTCATTGTTGAGTCCCTGGGCGGCCCCATGGAGCAGATCCCGACAATGGTGGCGCTCTTTTCGCTCGGCAACTGCTGTGGGCGCGTCGTATCGGGCGTTCTATCGGACAGCGTCCTGGACAGATGTCCTCGCATCTATTTTGTAAGCGTGGCATCCATCTTCGTTGGTTTTACTCACGCGTTGTTTTTGGTTATCCCGCGTGCGTACCTGGCGGTTCCTATCACGCTTGCAGGCATCGCTGATGGCGTCATGTTTGCCACGTTTCCTGTGCTGACCCGAGAGACTTTTGGCGCGCGCCACTTTGGCAAGAACTTTGGTCTTATGAGCGCGGCCAATGCGATCGGCTTTCCCTTATTCTACAGCCCCATAGGCTCGTTTGTCTACAGTCTGTCGGCCAAGCCCGTGGACGGCGTCCAGAAGTGTGTCGGAGACGAGTGCTTTCGGTCAGTGTTCTTCTTGGTCATCGCGTTGAGTGTCGTATCCTTGATGGCGAGTCTCGAGTTTGCCAAACGCCAGCAGTACGCCCGCTTGTTATAGTATGAAGCTATATACTCGACGTACCTTTGTTTGACTCGCTTGTAGGAACATCCTGTCATCCCGTGCCTCCAAGGTCGTTAGCAAGCTGTAGGAGTGACGTCGTAGAGTCGTTTCGCACAACATAGAGGCGAGGTGTAGTCGAAGTGCCATTCTGCACGAACGGTGGTGTCAGCGTGCGAGCAAGTCAACATCCTTTTGCTTGTGGTATCCCAGCACAGGCGCTCAGTCTCCTCTTTGCGGCTGTGTTTGAGTGGCTTTTGCGTTTAGTCTCAATAGACGTTCTATGGCAGCGTGCCATCTGCATGTGACTCGGGCGCTGAGAAAAGATGAGTTCGACATGCTCGAGAGTGTCCACAATGGCTCGTTGACTGTGTGTCGTGAAGGTCGAAACAGAAAAGATCGCGTGTAGAGGAATCGGGGGCAACGACGGACGAGATTGATCGATATGCCTAAAATCGCCCGGTTTCGTGCTCGTCACTATTCTTCGAATCGCAGCGGCTATGTGATTCTTACGCACTCTTTCTTCAATAAATTGGTCAAGTGCGTGAGGTAGAGGAACGAAAGAGGAGCGACCTTTGGACTCCGCGGGATGCTCAAGCTGACTGCAGAAACGATGCAATCAGGGATAGAGGAGTCAGCTCTGGAGCTCGCGCTTTGATGCGGGTAGTTGGGTTCAGAGAAATATGAGTGAGTGGTGGATGACCACGTACCCATTTCAGATGGTTGAGGTTGGCGGGTGGAGGGTGGGCTTTGTGTGCGTCGTGATGTGTAGTAACCACAACGCTGTCGTAGTGCTGGCGTGATGAAGCCACTCTGGTGTCGTTGACATCTTGAAGAGAAGGATGCGAGGAAAGAGAGCGAGAGACAACGACTGATGTTTTGCCTGTGCAACTGACGACATGAAATCGCTTGACGAGGAGAAGAATGATAAGTAGTGCTCTCTGCCGCCGAGCGAGGAGGGTGACCATAAGCTCTTGCGCTGTCGGTTTTCAGGTACCGCACACAAACAAAGTGATGCGATGTAAGCGTCGCCTTGATATGCTGTTCGTAGTTCGTCAATCGATGCACTGTTTGTCGACCGACGAGTGGTGAGATCCCCATGAGTGCTATCGTGGACCACAGCATATCCGCTGTGTCTCAAGTCCTCCGTAAGTGCTTTTTTCGACCACAACACACATAGTGCGGTCCGAATAAGGTGTTCTTGTCTTTGAAAACCTATTTCCAATTCACGCCCCCAGCTCTTATATCTGCTCATGTCTGCCATGTCACTCAGCAAAGCAGAAAACGGCAGATGTGAAGGTGTGGATGTACAGCCGTCCAAAGTCAGCTCACCTGCTGCTGCATCTGTCGACGAGCCTTTGTCGCGGGTGTTCTACAAGAAGAGGTACGCCTGACGCGAGCTCTGTGCACGGCGCTTGTGTAGACGACGTCGTGCACTCCCTGGTGTCACTCCGAACTCTGGCGTAAGTGCAGTCAGCATCCTTCTTCTCTTTCTGAATACTGCTAGTGAAGTTGCTGGTTGTTGAGCGACTGGTGGCAGTCATGCTGCTGCTATCGCGGGTGGTGCTGGAGTCGCGTGCTGGAGGTGCGGTCGACGACTGTAGAACCACCCGCGATACCTTTGCTACCCTAAGTTGTCGAGCATTTGCACTGTCCGCCCTTGGCTGTGTCTTGAACAATCATGCGTGTGTGTGCGCGTAAAGCACAGTCAAACAGAAAGATACATATGCGGAACCGCTTGGCTTTCACCTTACGTACACTGGATGGCAGCTTCAGCAAATTCGTTTTTTTTGCTAAAATACGTCCTTGCAATTGTAAAGCACTAGTGAAGCCCATTTTAGTATCGCTTTTTACGATTGCGGAGAGTAAAGTACAGCATGGAATGAGTTCGTTGGTCACTTTTCAAGTGGTTGATGTGTAAGTGTGGTAATTGATCAGCCAGAGCGAGAATCGTCTTGTCCACTTGCCGGATGCGAATAAATCGGAGCAGTGCACGAAGCTTATCGGTTGACCAATTACCGGCGAGGACGACAGCTTCCAGTCCGACTGTTGCTAGCGACGTTGCGACTCCAAAAGCTGTCAGAAGACCAAGTACACAACAACGTGCAGCCCGCTTTGTTCGAGTGTTGGCTGATTGTTTCGGCGGTTAAGGATGAGACGCCGCAAATGTTCATCCGCATCCATTCTGAATACAGCAACCTTAGCTGTCCGTCCGCGTTATCTACGACCGCTGTCTTCACCAGTGCAGGTTAGTACAGTCTATAGACAACGCCCTGCCCGCAGCTTCATACCCCTCTGACCTCTACTCGTCGGCACTTTTGCTCGAGTAATAGCAGTCGAGGGAAGTCAGTGATCGGCCCTGAGATGTTTGATCGAATCAGGTCGAGCCCTGGTTCGGTCCTGAGTGCCTTTGCTATGTGTCGCTCCTGTCGCGGGGTCATTCATGCGATGGCTGACAGGTGACCGTGAGCGATGGTACGATCCTGCTGGATACGGTAGTACCCAATCGATGAAGTGCGAGCGGAAGGCTATTCCTGGTCCTACCCAACAGATGGAGGACGAGCGGAATGCTATTCCTGGATCGAGAGCAAGCCCTTCATGGAAAGCCTCTCTGATAGGAGGTGGCGTGATGATGTGTCGTCACGACGCCACGTTTGAGGAAATACAAGGGACTTGCTCGCCTGGTCGACATCTGTACCAGGATTCTTCGGTGTGGAAAAAAATGATGCTTGCTGGCCTTGTCGCACCTCAGGTGCTATGTAGCCCGTCTACTTAGCCTGAGGAGTCAAGTTGGTTGTACAACAAAAGCATTTGATCGACCAAGCATTTGTCAAGCGTGTCGAGATGGCATCCATGTCTCTCTGAGCAAATTGTCGTAAGAGTAATTGTCATAGTTTATCCCTTTCGTAATTATGCTACGAAGGAGGATATATAACATTGTAGAAGATAGTCCGTTCCGAAACACCACCATCTTCATAGGCTGCGCCGATGCCAGGACACTACAAAACATCAATGACATGAATGAAGACGGCACTATGAATCACAACATAATGCCTTCTCAGCGTTAGACCAAAGGGAAGCTGCAGCCATTGGTCACAAGTCGCCGTGCTCCTAGCCCCTGCCGCCGTCGATACCGTTGTGGTGCACGCAACTGTCACAACCATCGAATGTATGAGACCAACGAGTACAACCTCAAGCAATTCGGGCTCAAAGTGAGTGATGCTGACGACAGGTGGCATGCTTGTATATAGTCCCTCACTCTACAATGTCGCATAGTCGACGGCCATGCGATAGCGTCCTCACTAAACGCTCTCACTCGAGGAGACTTTGCAGTCCTGGTGCGATCTGAAAGAGCAGTAAAAAGGCTTTCAAACCTTCACGCAATGTCCGAGATGTTGTGAAATCACGAAGCAGCTACCATACACATGTCCATCGTGATACCCCTTATCGTCAGACGTGTGTCTGTGCGGCTTAAGAGCATGTTTCGATGTGTCATATTGCTCGATATGCCCTTACATACCTCGCTGTAGTTCAGCACTGCACTCGGCCGTCATGCGTGTCAGCATAGCCTCGGAACTTGATTTGTTCGTAAGCACCACAGTTCATTGTTTCTGGGTGGGACATTCTCAGCACATTCCCATCAGTGTACCCAAACAGGCGCCTTGCGAGCGCTCGCAAGACGTAGACTTTGTGTCAGGTCTCTTCTCCTCGTTGCTCTGTTGGCATCGCTAGCATATCGGTTCGCAGACACTGTAGGCTATCAAAAGTATGCCGATGTTCACGAGGAGCCAGACCCGCGGTCGACACTGTATGGTCCACGCGACGTATGCGGTGTGACAAAACCTTACGGAGTCCTGCTCGACAAAGATGACGGCCCACCTTCGTCCACGTTGGCGGCGTTCTCTCGACATTTCGCATGGCCGTGTTGCATCTCATTGGCCAGTCATGCGAAAGCCGGTCAAAACGTCGACACAGCGACAGAAGGCATGTCTCATACTCAGCAAATACAGCAGTTATCGCTTGTCCGTCGCATAGGTCGCGCAGCGTTCTAGTAAAGTGCGCCTAATGAACTGGTTTCGCTCGCGTCCCTTCTTTTCTCTGTCATTACACACTCACTACCGTTCGTTTCTGAGTAAGTCTAACAAGGCAGCAATTCAGCTGATCCGACTTCCCGAACTCGAGATTCGACGAAAACGCATAGTACTCCTCCTCCTCCTCCTCCTCCTCCTCCTCCTCCTCCTCCTCCTCCCCACTACTACTACTACTACTACTACTACTACTACTACTACTACTACTACTACTACTACTACTACTACTACTACTACTACTACTACTACTACTACTACTACTACTACTACTACTACTACTACTTTTCCTCGCCACCCGATCGAGCAGCAGTTTCTCGCAGCGTCAGTCGTCAGTCGTCCGCCGTCGCCTTTCGTCCTCCGTCGCCTTCAGTCCTCTGTCGCCTCTCGTCCCCTCTCGGCGCCTTCAGTCCTCGAGCCAGAAGCCCCTGCTACGCCCCACTCATGACCGCCCGCGTCGGCCACCTCTCGCCCACCCTCGCGACGCAGCGCAAGCGCACGGCGTCGGCCACCGTCGTCCAGGCGTCCGCGACGGTCGTCCAGGCCTGTCGCCACGCCGTGGCCGAGCTCGAGAACTGGTCGCTCTGGGCCTACCGCTCGACCACTGGCGAAGAGTGGGACGCGCAGCCCGCGTGCTTCATCACGGACTACCTCCTGGCGCTGCAGTGCTTCGCCTTTGCCGTGTACATTGGGCTCTTTGCCGCGGCCTCGGACAAGAGCGACCTCTCGTGGTACCTCATGTACTTTATGGCGCTCGGCATCTCGGCCGCGTTCGGCGGCCTCCTGCACCACGTGGCGTTCGAAGCCATGCGCGACATGGCGCACAAACAGGAGCAGCACGTGGTCGAGACGGCGCGCATCTTTGGCGTCGACCTCAGCCGCTCGACGGTCGACGCGATGATTGACGCGCTCTGGCGCGTTGTGCTCGCGTGCTCGATCTGCACGAACTTTGCGCTGCTGTCGCTCGCGGCGAGTCGCCACCTGCCCGAGACGTGGGCCTACTCGATCATTGGCGTGGCCGCCGTTGTCTACGGGGTGCTGGCGGTCTGGGCCAGCGTCAGCATGCACGCCGTGTTCCTCTTTGCTGGCTTCTTCCCCGTCATGGTCTTTGGCCCCGTCGCGTGCTTTATGACGTGGAACTGGGAGTGGAGCCACTCGACCAACGAGCTGCTCGTGTACGGCGTGAAGCTCCTCGGGGGCCTCATCCAAGGCCTCGTCTGGGCGCCGAGCAAGGACAAGTTCAACCACAATGCGCTCTCGCACGTGTTTCTCAGCATGGCAGCGACGCTGATGCTCATCCACTTTAAGTTTTGAGAGCCGGTGGCGCGAGGCGCAGCGTGGGAGTGAGACGGCGACGGAGAGCAGTGCAGGGCTCGTGCGAGGTATCAGCGAGTAGTTTATTTAGGCACGTGCGCACGACGCACAGGGCGTCGTCTCGGGGTCGAAGGTCAGCAATTTGGGAAGGAGGGGACGAGAGCGAAGCAGCGTCGAGTCAAGAATAATCGTCAAGTATTTCTGAGTGTGCTTTGACGTGCGTGGTCCATTGATGATGATGATGTGATTGGAGTGCCGTAGCGTGTGCCGTAGGGGCGTACTATGCAGTGGGCATCTCTGGATGCACTCCACACAATTGAACGCTGAAGTGTTCGTCGGACGAGCGTCACAAAGTCACGACCGGGACGCAGCTCCTGGTCGGGGTGAACTGTATGTACCCACGTGCAATCTTTGAGCTTACGGACTGGAGCCGGTCTGCTGCTGCTGCTGCTGCTGCTGCCAAGAACAATTACAACCTTCGATCGGGTTACGTGATGGCGCAATGAATGGCACCAGGAAACAGCAGCAACGTAGTCCTGCAGTGTACAGGCTTCCTTCCGTGCGTGCAGCATATACCGTTAGCATTGTAGCAGTCATGAAGCCCATCTATGCAATGGCGACAGGCAGTGCGCGGCTGTCAATGCAAGTCATCCAGCGCTTGTAGTGCGCATTTCGAGAGTGCGTGTTTGCGTGTGCTAGCGACTGCATGAGGCTAACACAGCCGCTTGAGACGGTGATACGAGCACTTCGCTAAGGGTCTCATTGCACGATGCCATCAGTCAGGAAAGTCAGTGCAGCAGATGGCACATCGTCGAGCAAGAAGGTGTGCTAACTAAGCCCCATCGTCCCTCCGGCATACGCCCGAGTTCGTCCACGTTTCTACCTGCTCGTTCTCGACGAATTTGGTCGAGCGGCATGTCGCGCACGCAACAGCTTTGGACATGTAAAGAAGGCCACATAACGCTTGACTTCTCATTTGCAACACTGCTTCGTCAGGTGGCGAGTACACATTACAAGCAGATATATGGGAAAGCCTCTGCTTGGAAACAGAATTCAGCATCGAGCAGACTCTTCGATGCACTGTTTACAGGAGATATCAGCTGCAGCACGACGGATCGCTTGCAGCTCGTGTCGTTTCTCCCGCAGTCTGCAAGCCGTTTCGCGTGCGTCCCTGATCTTAGTCGCTGGATCACCGTGTTGAGCAAAAGGGTTCGTAAAGACGAAGCGATTCTTTATGATGGATAGAAGGCGCATCACTCACGCCATGGAGTTGTTTCCGCGTCACACAATTTCAACTTCCATTCGAACAGACAAATTTGGAGCAGTACACGATAAAAACTGTCGTTCCGACTTCGGAGCAACTCGATCTTGGCCCAAAGCACGTCTTCATGACACCGTACATCACTGTCAAATAAGTTCGACGACGGTTTGCAAAGTTAATGGGCTGCTCGTCCCTTGCTCTTCCGTGGCTATCCTCTGGTTTCCGGTCTTCCGCTGTGCCAATGTAAACAAAGGTGTACGGTCTAGCGGTCGAACGGACACGAACTCACTGCAGCGCCCTCGTAACAGGGTGAACCTATTTTCTGTAATTGACACCGCATTTGGTCAACGTAAATAAATATCGGACTTGATGATATCCTCCAATATTCACCTTATCGAGTAAATGCTGAAGAAATATTACCTTCGGAGGTAATATTCAGCACCGCTTCACTTGTTGGCAATATATGTCATCATGTCAACCAGCTAAAGCACCATCGCTGCTAGACGTGCGCAATAGGTGGTGAGTACATTTGACCGTTGTACTTTCATATAGCTAAATTCAGATCAAGAGAGGTTTTATAAGGGTACTTAGACTACATTCAATACTGTTCTACATTCCCTTTTACTCAACGTGTTCGTTGGGAGATCAAGTCTTCCTCTGCACGTACAGTGTACGTGAGGATTCGAGGTAAATGCCTACGGTGTGTCAGGGTAGGTTGCTTCAACTGTGTTAGTACAAGCGGAAAGTGTCCCGTTTTACATGGTAGCTCCTCGTGGTCTGTCAAATGACCGCGGACGCTCCATTCAACACGAAAATGTTAGATGAGGAAGAGGGGCTGTAACGATAGTACACTTTGCTGCAGATGTCAGACCTCACGGAGGTCAATGGATGAAAGTTCATTTTGGTGTATTGTACAGGGTGAAGCAAATACGAATGTTCAAACAGTGCGATAAGACGGTGTCATAGCCTGCGAGATGTACATGGCGCGTATGACCAGACGCACTTTTCTACCCACGATCCGTAAGCAGCTGGTCTGGCCATCTCGGCTGGATAACTGAGACCTACGATCCCAATGAGCTGGATCCCACTGTATACGATCCAACTTTACGTTGCCGGCATGCTATAGGAACATCCCGAACGCAAACACAAAGCGACTTGAGCTGTGCAATATGTGTCACATGCGAACTTACAATGGGACACTTTTTTTACTTCATACACTAATAAGAATCGGTATCGAGCTTTTAGCTGCCGTGCTAGCAGCCATAAAGTGTTGCAATCGATTTAAGCGAATCTCGTGCCTACGTCGGCGACGTCTACATCGAAGTGAATGTAGCCATGCGGATCACACGACACAGAAATAATGCTGTCAAATTATATAGAGCTTTTGTCGTCGACAATGTGTAGTGGTTTCTATTCACAATGAAATGCGTCATTATGATAAATGAATGTCAAGAAGATAATTCTTCTATCAGAAAGATACATTATTCAGCGTAGATTGAGGCCGTTATAGTGTAATGCCCAGCGCCTCCTTATGATCCTGCCAGTATATAGGATCGTGCGCACATAAGTCATAATTAGAAGGTAAAACAGAGTACCCTATCCTTCATTTACTGCGTCAGATTATCTTTAATGGGTAGATGCATAGTAGTGGCGTTTACATTGAACTCTATCTTCGGCGACGTAAGACGACCTCACAAAACTAGCTATTATTTATATCCATCGGCTCAGCAAACTGGTACATCATATTGTTATTTGGGATTCGGACTAAGCAGAATATGTGTACAATTCTTACTATTCGCGCTCGATGCTATAATTTGCGTAAACTTTACATGCAGCCCACGGTTCAGGGTAAGATTTTGGCAGTCCGTGCGCCGTTCGCTCAAGATACTTAGGATATAATGAATGAACATGTAGAAAGTGGTGATCAAAATCAAAGTGCCACCCGCCTCTTTATAAATGCGTCAAGTTCGTGGTCATTCGTACACGAATTGTAGTGAGGATTTATGTAACGGGCCGCTCCCCTTGTGTCAATTTAACACAAGGTAGCGTGCACCCGACGTCACGTACACGTGGCGTGAGGAAGCGCAACCAAAGCAAACAGAACCCGAAAGCTCTGTCTGAGCGAAAAGTAGAACTGTTATTTCATATAGTTAAGTTTCTTCGTAAATCATCTTTCGTCTCAATCTAACTATTTTAAACTACCATCTCTCATGTGGGTCTCTTGTTCACCACCCATTGCATTCGTCCAGCAGCGATTGGTGGTGAAATTGGTTGATGTACCGTGTACATCAACCAAGAAGTGGAGTCCCCACGGATATTATCCTTGGAGGTAATATTCCGACAACATCAATCTTCTCGAGTGATGTTGATTGAACATAATCAAAAATAGATAATGTTCCAAATATAAAACGAAAGTATCAATTTTTATGGAACGGGGTAGCCCGTTACACTTTACACGCAAATAAACTGCTATTAGGCAATCCATTATGTTAAGTAGTTACAGGTTTACTTCATATTTACATATAATTAGGTATAAACAATATCCGGATAGCGGATACTACGCGTTAATTTATCATTGGTTGACTATTGGGGTGCCAGACTTAATAATTAGCCAAATATAAATAGGTCTATATTTGAGTGGTTTCCATGAGCTAGGAAGCATATTCGCACTTTGTGCGAATTATAACGAATACACATATAAACAGAGTTATATTTACGACTTAGTAAAGAGCGCTTCGTCACACCCTTTTGGCGCAAGTCGGTAAAGGCCCCCCGTTACATGGGTTGTCGACTTATATTTTGTGTTATTAATAAACTTCTCGATTCGTCTTCGCAATCGCTAGGGATCTACGCGGATTTCGCTATCATAAACTTTCGTCGTTCAACATCTTCTTTGACCCAACACTCTGTCGCATCCCACACCTCTGCGTCTGATATTCATCGTATGACGGATTACTTTACTACCATACCCTTCATCCATGTACGAACATTTAACAACTTAGGTCGTCACGGTCTGTGTCGTATTCCGCGAAAACGATCATTAGACAGCAGATCGCCGGTATCGTCATGGCATCCATTTTCTTTTCTGGAACTGTTGCATCTACAACTAAACTCGGATTCTCATTCTCATACTCACATTCTTACCTCACATCCCAGCATCGATCGCAAACTCCTTCCCCATCCGCATCTCGCCAATCATTATCATTCCAATTTTAACTACGATACAGGAGGCACGCGATTTGCCATCACACACGCCTGCCGTAATTGCAGTCCATCAGTTTGTCACAATGTCGCAACCTGTTTATAATTTAGCATTTTGTAATTCCTCAAGTATATACAGCTTGGCAGCACCGGTAAGCACGAAGGTCGCTGCATGCAAACTCATCGACCACTTATCAATTTAGGAGAGGAAATTGACTGTCTGTCGGTATAGAGATAAACAAAAGGGCTCAATATAAATTTATATACAAAAATGTTTAGCCTGGAATGCTAAATACAACTTGCGTTTCGGGCATGTAGCGACTCCTTCTTCGATAATGTTCGAGCTGGTATCGTCTGCTATACCTTTCGTCAGTAGCTACTCTTTGTTTAATGTGGCTACAAATAATTGGTGGCAGATAAAATTGACTGTTGAGATGAAATGCTGAAATATCGGTACACATATCAGCTCAAATTATGTTTATCGCTTGCAACGATACCTTAAGGATGCGGTCGTCATTCTATCAAACTTTACTATGGG